ATGTATCTTATTTTCTTTAATCTCAAGTTTCTGGAACAATTTCCAATGTGCTGAATATGAGAGAGGGGATTATTTTTTTTTTCTTTTGAGACAGAATCTCTTATGGGCCAGGTTGGTCTTGACCACACTAGGTAGCCGAGAATGACCTTGAACTTCATGGGTGCTTTCTGCTAGCACTCTGACAACTGCTACCCACCGAGCCCCATGTGAAAGGAAACTAAGTCCACTAAAACCCTTTCGGTTCTCTGCAACTTTTCTGAAAATGCCAAGGCACCATTTTAGGAGGCAGCCTAAAAGTAACTCCCACCCCCAACTTGTAACCAATATGTACAAAGTCAACTATTTTAAATATCTGCAGAGAACTGAGTTTGTGAAGGGCAGAATCTTGCCCTGAGAAGTCAGCGTTCTATCCCAAACTACAGAACAGAAAATCAAGAAACAGGAAAGCTCCGAGTGTGAACCCTAGGGGCATGCGGCTATCTGGTGACGAAGCCTGAGTCAAGTCCACGAATCCCAGAGGAATGTGGCTCTCCTTACGCTTCTTTAACCTGAAGGTTTTAGGAATAAATTTGTAATGTGTACGTATCAGTTTGTCTGGCCGTGGACTACTTCAGGGCCCAGCACATGATCGGTGACAGAGCGGGCTACAAAATCTGCTGAAGAAACAAACACCCTAGAGTTCTGGATAACAAAAGCAGGCAGAGAAGCTTCAATATTTCACAGCACTGGAGAGACAACTGGCCCCCGAGAAACAGTCTCAAAGAGAAAGGAGAAGAACAAAACAACCCACAACTGGACAGAGTTGAATTGAAAGAGAACCCAATCCAGAGAATGCACTTGCCCATACGATTTTGGAGATGCAAAAAAAGCTAAAACAAAACAGAACAACAGTTTGCATAGGCAATGAGTGTCTCTCACAAGGGCTCAGGTGTTGGGAGCTTGGCTCCCAGCTGCTGGGGCTGTTTGGGGAGTATCTGTGAACATTCGGAGGTGTGGCCTCGCTGAAGGAAGTAGGTCACCAGGAGTAGGTTCCCGCAGAGTGTGTCCTGGGCCCCCTCCGGTCCCTTCTTTCCCTCTCTGCTCCCTGGCCACTTCCCCCTGACTCTCCCGCCATGATGTTCTCCTCAACCACACTGGCACCAAATTAACCTTTCCTCCTCTGAGCTGTCCTTGTATCTTGGTCACAGCAAAGCAAAAGTAACGAATGAGAGAATAAAGTCCTCGGCAGACATTTCTCTAAGGATGCTGGGAAAGATGGCTGAACAGGTAAGAGCGCTCGCAGTACAAGTCCCATGACCCGAGTTTGATCCCTGGAACTCACGGTAAAAGGAAAGAACTGGTTCCCAAAGTTGCCCTCTGACCTCCATGTGTACACAGTGGCATGAATGCACCCCCCGCACAGACAAATAAATAGATAAAATAAAATAATAAAAAGATAAAAAAAATTTTTAAAAAGCAGCCTTCCCCTTTATCCGAAGAGGACACGGCCCAAGAACCCCAACAAATGTATGGTACAGAGTAGCACACTGAACCCTCCAGAGAATGTTTTTCCTGTGTACACATATATTCAGCGATGGAGCTCATAACTAAATTAGGAACAGGAAGAGATCACTAACGATAGAGCAATTAAGACAATATGCTGAAATGAAAGTCACATCAACATGCCCCTCTCACTTCCAAAATGTCTGTCCTCTGCACTGCATTGTGGGAATATCAGGCTCTGGACGGCTCGGAGCGCGTGCATGGCACAGGAGGAGGCCAGAAGACAGTCCAGTTAGAAAAGGACCGGCCAAGCACGAAGACCTGAGTTCAGACACGCAGCACCCATGGAAAAGCTGGGCGCGTGGGCACACATCTATAACCACCGCTAGGAGCTTGGGGAGGCAGACACGGGTGGCCACCTGGAGCGCACTGACAAACTACCCTAGCTCCAGGCTGGTGAGAGACCCTGTCTCAAGCAGAAAGGAGGGGGAGAGGAATGTGGAGAATGGTCGAGGAAGAGGGTGGCACTGACCCCTGCCCTCCCCCCCACCACACCGCTCACATGTATATACCCCATCACATGCGCACACGCATGCATGCACCCTCGCACGCGCGCGCACACACACACCCTGCAGGTCAATATGGGAATGGCCAACAAGCACAGGAAACAGTTCTCAACACTGTTAGTCACTAGGAAACTGCAGATCAAAACCACAATGAGCTACTACTTCATACCATTGGGATGACCTTAACAAGCAACACATGGCCTACACATACAATGGAACACTGTTTACTCACAGAAAAGGGATAAAAGAATGAATCCTGAACCACAAAGGCCAAATACTTTAAGATTCCATTTGTATGCGAACAGGCAAATTCAGAAGGAGAAAGCGGCTTAGTAGCTGCCAGGGGCTAGGGAGGAAGGGAGGCTGACTGTTTAATGGGGAAGGGTGATGGAAAAATTCTAGAACCAGACAGGTGTAATGGTTACACGCCACTATTAATACACTTAGTGTCATGCCTTAATAGACTTTAAGATGCGAAATTGCATATAATTATGTACTTTATATTTTACTACAATAAAAAATGATAATTGGACGGGTGAAACAGCTCAGTGGGCGAAGGTGCTTGCTACCAAGGTTGCTACCATGGTGGAGAAAGAGAACCTATCCCTGTAAGTTGCACACTGTGGTACATACACATGCATGTGCACATGTGTACACACACACAAATAAATGTAATAAACAGTTTTTAAAATGAGAACCATTTCAGAATTTGGGAGGCAGAGGTGGGCCAGGAGCTCAAGGCTGCTCATTGTCAGGTAGCAAGTTCAAGACCAGCCCAAGCTAAAGGAGATGAGAATCAAGTTTTCCCAGTGCTAAAGTCTCTAGTAGGATGATATGCATTCACAAAAAGCTAGCAGACTCTGGTCCAGAAAGTCAAGCCGTTACGTTGCACAGACCATTAGTACAATTCCAGCTTTTATTAAAGTCTCTTGAATGTCAAGACTGGAAACTCTGAGGAGGCAATGGCAAGACTGGGAGGAGAAACTTCACTGTGGTTCTTCACAGACAGGCTGTTATCAAGGATGTCACCATATGACGAGAAGGAAGTCCCAGTAGGATCAGAGTCATTCAGAAAGGGGATGGAGACAGCCCATCCCCTGTAGGGAACCCATGAGGAAGCCACGGCCTCACCTCCAGAAAGTGCAATGGAAACTAAGACAAAATGCTGTCCTTGACCATCACAAGTGTTCAAGTTCCCGGATGCTCCTGGGATTCCCCTGGCACCTACTAAATGGCCTCAATGCCATCGGCGTTCATCCCATAACAAGGTAGACCCGATGCCTTTGAACTTTCTGTTCCAGAGGATTCCCTGTGCTTGCCTCTGCTCCGCCCAGGCCTTCCACTGCCCTCCCTTCAGATTTCAAGGCCCTGTTCTGCCTCTAAGAGTTACCTGAGCTGATCTTCAGATCAACACAAGGTGCCAACTGCAGGCTCCTGAGGTGTCTGAGAACTTTGGAACCAAGGCCAGGTGTCTCGTCAGCCACTGAGGAAGGCAGGATTACCAGATCAGGGTTTAATCAGTTTGGACCATATGGCTCTTATCTAGAAATTCTTGCATGTGCAATGGCGAGGCAGGACTTAGCACACTGGAGCTGCCCAAACAGACTACAAATACAATGATGAACTAACAAAGTGTCTAACCAGGTCTGCGTTAAAGCAGACCAATCCCTCTGCAATAAAGAACTACCAGGTCAAACAGACTTAGTATTTTCAGAAGCACAAATTCTCTTTATAACTGCCACCTATTCTAGTTTCAAATTTCAGTTTTCTGTGAGTGGAGAAAATGTTCTTAAAATGATCAGCATCCAAAATTTTCCAGGAGTTCATTGGCGGCACTGTTAGAAGGAACCTATCCAGTCACCGAAAAAAAAAAGGCTATTACTCGTCTGGGCAAGAAAATACACAAGATTCCATACATACACTGTCAAGCCTGGCAAGAGAGATCTTAGCTGACTTCTACCCTTCCCACCCAACCCCAAGTAAACAGGGCATTTGTTTGTATTTCCACATTGGCTACACCAACGAAAATACCTCCTCCACCTAGAAAAACACTCTGGAACATTCAGGCATGGAATATAAGGGCAAAGTTTCAGTACACATTGGAGCATCTCACAGAAAATGACTTTTCATAAAAGTCTGTCCTGTGAGCACTTTCCCCAAGTTCACACTTAATACCTGGTTTGGTGTTTGCAGATGGCGCAGGGACAAAGCTTTTTGCTGTTCTTTATTACAACTGGAACCTGAAAGAATCTTCCCATGGCAGAACTTGAAAGTTGTACTCTGTTTAAGGGGAAACACACACACACACACACACACACACACACACGCTCCTCATTTTTCTGCTTTGCACGGAACACACACACACACACACTCGCGCGCGCACACACACCTTCATTTTCTGTTTTGCACTGAATAGGTTCAGGCAAAGAGTTAAAAGTTGCGTTTAAGTGGCGAGGGGAGGGGGTTAGCTGCTTAAATTTACAATCTGTAAAACAATGCAGGGAAGCTTTCCGTCTTGGAAAAACGCCGCAGTTGGACTGGCTTTTGTTAAGCCGTGTCCCATTAGCCACATACTCTTTCTAATCCTGAAGCCCCAGTTCACCGAGCAGATCTACACATACATCCCCGCGCGATTCAGTTATCTGCGGGAAACTGGCGGGGGCACAGAAACCTCCGGAAAGATTCGCAGAGGACCCCTGTTTAACAGGTGATTCTAGCCATCTCCCGAGTCTCAGCCTCTCAGGGGACACGGTCCTCACGCGCAGTCGGGCGCCGATCCCCTCGCCAGGCTCCGGAGAAAGTCAGTGGGGACCAAAGCCTGGGAGTCAGGGACCCAACGCAGACAACACGCTACGAGCCACTGAGCGCTCGCTGTCGGGTAAATCCCGAGGTGGGAAGCCACGCGCCGCGACCCCTAAAGTCCCGGGATGAAGGCCATTGGGTGGCACTGACCTCGGCGATGACGGACGCCCCAGCTACGAGCAAAGGACTTCCCCAACTTCAGAGACCTGGACTCGGCGGCCACGGTGATCCGGACAGCTGCTGCCGCGCCCGCGCCCGGCGCCGGGTCTGTCCCAGTTCAGTAGGGCCGAACTCACCGAGCCAGGTCCCCTCCCAGGGCCGCAGGTGTCCACGCCAGCTCCGACCCGCAATGCTCACGCCGTCCACCCGTCAGCAAGCTGCGCACGCTCGCCGACAGTCCGGGACGGCCTGCCGCGCGCTCCCAACCGAGCGCGCTCCGCCACCCGGCTGCACGCTCCGCACCTCTGCCGCGCGCCCCCGGTCGTGCACGCTCCGCGCCTCTGCCGCGCGCTCCTGGCTTCGGGACTCTGGTCCACCAGAGGTGCTCTGCGCGCCCCCGCGATTTTTAAAGGGCCAGAGCCTGAAGCCCCAAGCTTGTGCCTTTGGCCACCTTTCCAAGTCTTGGTCTACTTGTGAAAATGAACTGAGGGTTCGCAATGGGACAACGTTATGCAGATGTGCTTTTGAAGTCCTGAACGAGAGGGAACTTCTCCAACAACTCCAGGACCAACTTTGAGAGTTTCATTAGTGTTTGTTTTTGAAGTAGTGTTTCACCATGCAGGATGACTTTAAATTTGTGATTCTCCTGCCTCAGTTTCCTGATTTCTGGAATTATGGGCATTTAACAGCAACATTATCTTGAAGAGATTATTTTCATTTAATGATAACAATGACTGCCATTTATGGAATATTTATACTCTCAGACATGTAACATACATTATTTCATTTAAATCATTTGGGCAATGCTTGCTTTATTTTTCCCTATGGGGGAGGGGTAAATTTTTGTTTTTATTTTTTGACAAAGGATCTCACTATGTAGCCTTGGCTGGCCTGGAGCGCACAATAGACTAGGGTGGCCTCCAATTCGGAGAACTCTATCTGCCTGAATGGGATTAAAGGTGTGTGCCACCACGCCCAGCGGTTTTTCATTTTTAATAAACTTGTAGGAAACTTGCATAGGTTTGTGAGGTGCTAATGTCCCCATACACATGCACATTGGACAGAGTTGTTAGCAGAACAAGCTTAGCTAGAGCGCCTTAAATATTTATCTTTTTTTTTTTTATTCACGAAAAATGTCAAAGCCGATAGTGGTGGCGCACGCCTTTAATTCCAGCACTCGGGAGGCAGAGACAGGCAGATCTCTGTGAGTTAGAGGCCAGCCTGGTCTACAGAGTGAGTTCCAGGACAGGACAGGCTCCACAGCTACTGAGAAACCCAGTCTCAAAAAGAAAGAAAGAAAGAAAGAAAGAAAGGGAAAAAAAAGAAAGAAAGAAAAATGTCAAAATCCTGTTGTAGTTTTTAAAAAGCAGCATGAGAGAGAGCTAGAGAAAGACACCATGGAGGGTTTTTTTTTATTGGGGGAAAAGGAATGGAAAAAGGGGGGAGAGGGAGACCAGCCTCTGGGGACAGGAGCCAAGTAAAGGAGGGGAGGGGAGGGGGAAGAGGGGACAGGAGAGACAGAGATAAAGAGAGATGGGAGGTGTTTAAATGGAAGCTTAGTGAATGTGCACAGGGGATGCTCTTAGTGGCTACAGCTGAGGTCATAGCCTCGTAGGACCCCAAGAGCAGGCCAGTACAGATGCCTGAATACTAACACTCCTAACAGGACCCCAAGGACAGGCCAATACAGATGCCTGAATTTTAACATTCTTCCTTGGTTTGTTTGTTTGTTTGTTTTTTGAGAACTTTGGTACTTCTGTTTATTTATTTTTTAATTCATTTGTGTGTGTCTGAGTTGCTGCACACAAGTGAAGGTCAGAGGGCAACCTTCACTTTCTTTCCAAGGCGTGGGCTAGTACTCGGGGCTCACTGCAAGAACCGCAACTGATGAGCCATCTCCACGGTCACGTACTTTGATTTCTTATGGTTATTTTACGGAGAGGGGATATTGAGGTAGACAAGACTGAAGAAATGCTCTTTGACCCCGCTGTTTGTTGCTATGTCTTTTACCGCCAGAAATATTTCTGAATCGCTAATCATAGTAGCTAGTTGTGGAAGACTTTTATAAGTGGGTGGAAGTTTATGTATGATACAAGTGAGAAAGCCAAAAGAATGTGTTTTATTAATTCTAAGACTTAACATGGGCTTGAACAACAGCCATTGTAACAATCTGTATTCCCCAAATGTCTGGATACCCATTTCACAGAAAGCTAAGGAAGGAAGTGGCTGGCTGCAGAAAACGCCCGGGTTGTAGACAGCTGTCGGGGCTGAGTCCGATTCCTCAGCCCATTGGGTCATACCTTGCCCCTCCCCAGGGAGACGAGGTCTCTGATTAAAGGGCAGAAGAAGTTTTCTCTAATAACACACTGGCCTCACCTAGCTCCTGCATCTTTAATTAATGTTTACAAAGCACTTCAATCTACCCAACATGCTGGTTAATTAGGCAAGTATTATTACCCCGTCTTTCTGAAGCAAATTCAGAAGAGAATCTAATCCGATCATCCCCCACCCTTGGTGAATGAAGACCCAAGCGTTCCATTTCTGCTGGGTTTTTGTTTGCTCTCTCACCCTGAAAATTTTGTCTCACACCGTGTTAAGCGTGCATGTATCGATCATTCATTCACTTTTTAAAAGGTATATAATACTAAATGCTGTAGGCAAAATGTACTATATAATATAGGTAATTATTGTCTTTAAGAAAACAGGTCAGGTCCGGTGTGGTGGCACACGCCTTTAATCCCAGCACTCGGGTAGCAGAGGCTGGTGGATCTCTCTGAGTTCGAAACCAGCCTGGTCTACAGCGTGAGTCCAGCCCAGCCAGGGCCACATAGTGAAATCATGTCTCAAACAAGCAGGAACACCAAATCCCCGAATTCCGGCACTTTAATAAGTGCTTCCCAGGACTTCTCACGTATTATTATTCTTTCTAAGCTCTGCTTTGGGGTGTGTCTTCTTAAAGTTCGTGGCGTGTTTCTTTCTTGTGGATGAAGTAAAAGGGAGAAAATGGACAGATGAAGGAATTAGGAAGAAAAAAAGATAAAAACAGAAAGAAAAAGATTGCGGTAGAATGAAAACAAGAAAGCAGTTGAGACTGTGAAGAAATTTCACCCAAGAGGCAGCTCCCGCTAGCAAACCGCAGTGCTTGTGGGGATTAATCCTGAGCGCCTTTCCAGGTGAGCAGGGACCAGTGTAACCAAGGAGAACTCACTGACTTCTGCCCCCTGTTCACCTCCTGTCAAGACAGCTTTGTGCCCTCCAGACACCCACCCACTGGATATATATGGTGAAAAATACACAAAGTGAGGTGAAGAAAAAATAGATCCAGTTTAGAAGGGACTTGAAGGATAGTTATTCATAAAAATACTCAATCTCTAGGAAGGAAACCTCTAGTACAGCGGTTCTCAACCTTCTCAATACTGTGACCCTCCAATACAGTTCCTCATGTTGTGGTGACCCCAATCATAAAATTATTTTCATCACTGTAATTTTGCTACTGTTATGTCTGTAATGTAAATATCTGTGTTTTCTGGTGGTCTTAGGCTACCCCGTCAAAGGGTCCTTTGATTCCCCAAGGGGTTGAGACCCACAGAGTGAGAACCACTGTCCTGGAGGTCTTTGTCTATAGTAATCTTACTGCTTTCATTTTTCAAGATAAGGTTTTATCACTCTGAGTGCTGGGATGGATGTGTACCTGTTCTCTACTCTGTTCCCCCACCCCCATTCATTTCTTTTCTTTTCTTTTTTTTTTTTTTTTTTGGTGGTCCTGAGGATGGAGATGTACCTGTAAAATACAGCCCTAGTCTTTGTCACTGCTTTAAGACTTAAGAAATTTGCTGAGCAAGGTGACAACTGCCTTTAATCCCAGCAACACAGTAACACCCTATTTTTTATGAATGGATTCTAGCTTGGTCTACATAGTTAGTTCCAAAGCAGCCAGAGTTACATGGAGAGACCCTGTCTCAAAAACAAGCAAACAAAAGCTAAAAGCTAAGGGCTGGAGAAATGGTTCAGTGGCTAAGAGCACTGGTCTGTGTCTGTTGCAGAGGACCCAGGTTTGATTCCCAGCATCTGCACGGTGGCTCAAGGCTGTCTATGACTCCAGAGTTAGGGGAATCCAAGGCCTTCTTCACACTTTTGCAGGTACCAAGCACCCTTGTAACTCTATAAAACTCACTTTGAGCTGGGCGGTGGTGGTACACGGCTTTAATACCAGCACTCAGGGGGCAAATCTTTTTATTATATTATTATTCTTTTTAATTTTACTTTATTTTTCCATTCAAAAATTTACACTTCCTCCCCTAAGGAGGTAGATCTTTGTGAGTTCGGAAATCAAAACAACAACAGCGACAACAACAACAAAAAACTTACTTTGAATCCACTACAATTTGTTTTTCTTTCACAGTCCTGGCAATTAAACCTAAGGCTACATGCTGTCTAGGCACAAGCTCCACCACTGAACTCCAGACCTGCTGCTGCAGCAACTTCCTTCTTCCTCCTCTTCCTCCTCTTCTTCATAAATCTCTTTTTCAGCTGACTTTTACTAAGATCATGATGTGTGCTACAGTTTGGAGCCGGAATGTCTCTCACCAGCCTACGATGCCTTAGGGAAGTAATGGGACCTTTAAGAGATGGGGTCTACAGGGAGAAAATGGGGTATTATGGGCATATCTCTAGACCAAATATTGGGACACTCACTCCTTGGGCAGCGGCGCCTTTCTCCTTGACTGTCTCTTGTTTCTCTGTCCCTGTGGTGAGTTCTGTCCTACTTGGGTGAGGCTTTTCTTCCCTGCCAGGACAGGGCTGTGAAGAGGAAGGTCTTCCCTAGAAACCGGGGTGCTGGAGCAAAAGGGCTGGCTGCTCTGCCCTGGGGTCTCGGGTGTATCCTCAATTCAAAGTCTGAAGTAGGGTCGAGGGGTGTCTCAGTTGGAAAAGAGCTGACCTAGACTGCAGGAAGACCCAGGTTACAAGCCCATCACCATATAAACCAGACATAGTGGCTTACATCCGTAATTCCAGCACTCTAGAGTTGGAGGCAGGAAGAGTTAGAGTCAGGCTTGGCTACAGAGAAGAGTTCAAGGCCAGCCTGGATTACCTGAGACCCTGTCTCAAAAAGTAGTACTAGGAATTGAAAACAGATTCAAGTATTGGAACTCTGGAAATAGAGGGTGGACTATCATCATATATATTTGTTTTAAACATCACTTGAAAAGTTGTTACTTATTTTCCAGGGTATTATACATGTGCGCGCACATACACACACACACACAAACACACACGCACACATACACA